GATGTACATCAATATCGAAATACATCATAATGATGTACATCAATATCGAAATACATCATAATGATGTACATCAATATCGAAATACATCATAATGATGTACATCAATATCGAAATACATCATAATGATGTACATCAATATCGAAATACATCATAATGATGTACATCAATATCGAAATACATCATAATGATGTACATCAATATCGAAATACATCATAATGATGTTTAAATTTTATGAGCATTTGACTATAACAGGGAAAATGGGAGGTATGAGCTTCTTCTTACAAAAGTGTTATTTATTTTATCTTTTTTTAATAAAATTTTGAAGTTGATATTATTCGATAATGTTTGCCATCTTTTAACAATATTACTTTTTACTTGAATTACGAACTGCATTTTATCCATGATTTTCAAGGGGATATAAACTCGGATGATCGTAAACCTCCCTACGCATGGAAAGTTGATTAGACTAAGTTATTAAAGCCTATGGCAACTCAGGACTGAAATTAATAAATATTTCAGTTTGAATCAGTAAACTAAACTAACAGAAAAGTCTTTTATTAGTTTTTGTTTGTTTGTTTCTTGGTTTTCTTTCTTTTTCCCGTAACTATGACGTGTATGAAAAAGTGCACTTGAGCGCTCTGTTGATTAATGAGTTAGCTCTCTCGTATCAAAATATTTTAGTAAAATACTATTAGCTTAAATATTTTATTGAAATAATTTAATTAATTTATGTAAGAAAAAGATGATTATGATTTTTTAGCAACTCTTTACGTAATTGCCAAATTAAGTTTTAATAGTTATAAATGATATCAAATATAAAAAGGCATTATTATTTGATATTTCTTCCAGTTCTTCCATTTGTGTTGGAAGAAACATATTTCTTCCAGGACGGTTTTTTTTCACTGTGAAAGAAACTTGCCAACATAATACCTTGAAACACACTGTTAGAATTTTCACTCAAAAATTATGGTAAAATAATCAGCAGCAGTCTGTACATCCGATTAACCGTAAAGTTTAGGGTAAAGAACATTTTTTACTCTTTTTACGATTTTGAAACCGTTTCCAACTAGCATGGTTTAATAGTATGGTTTTCTAGTATGATAGTAATCTTCGGCAAACATAAATTCAAAACTATAAGTTTTTTTAAACCATTTACTACTAGCATAGTTTCAAAACCGTATTTTTTTTTTTAACTGGATAGAGAAGTTAGGCTTTTTGTTAAGTTAATGGGCATTGGAGAGTGCAGGACACTGAAAATTCTTCATGTAGTGAAGGGAATGGTGGAAATATCGTGGTGTCAATGCTGGGACTCAAATCCCAATTCTTTAGTCCATGAGACAGACAGATTCACCCACTCAGCTATAAAATGCTCGCAGTTGCAAGGAACAAAGTGGCTTCATTAAGTGGACTTAGTTGGTGCGATAAAATCCTGGTTGTTTACCCGTATTAGAACGGCTTTTCTCACAGTTAACAGTTTGATTACCATCTTATTTATGGTTATTAGACCGCTTTGTCTGAATATGGTAAAATAGCAATTAATTAAATTGTCATTTAACCATTTTTTTCTAAAAATTTCTAAGAGTGCAAATTTTCGGCAACCAAAAAAATTTCAATTGAGCTGTGTTTCCATTGAAGTTGAACCATGTAATCAAGTTTGAAAAGGATTAATTTACATGGTAATACGGTTTAAGTCTGCACCCTATTGAAGTTGCAGCAAATTATAATCCGGCACGTTCCTTGCATTAAAATACTTAAGCAAATCACGAATTTTAGAGCGTTGTTATAAAAATGTAGATCTTTTCTTTTTAACTTATGAAAAATAATTAGAAAGTATAACTTTTCTGCAACATTCAGTATTCAACTGAAGTATGTATGAGGTAGATATGATTTAATATTTCCACTGTCAACCACACCCACAGAAAAAGTAAAGAAGTTGAAAAATTTTGTCACAGACAATCCGTGGCATACCGTGACAGATGAGGGCGGATAAACATACTGAAAACACGTACTAGTTTGTGGCAAATCATAAATTATTTTCAATTACAAACCCTCCCCGGAAATACTTTCAACTGCTGCTGGTGTTTCCCATTTACATATTAACCACATCAAGAATACCATTATACTCATTGCTCTAAAAACGAAATAAAATTACTTTGAATAAAATATTAGAGACATGTCAGCATTTTCAAGTGTTTTATTCTGTAAAATAGAGCCCAAATTCATTTTTAACATGTTCTATTGCATTTTCTAAGACAGTGTTTCCCAAACTTATGGTTTTTGTGTACCCTTTCTAAATTTTTCGTAACTCTGTGTACCCCTAATAAAAAAATGAACACATTTTTTACTATAAGAAAATTGCACGAAAGTTACAAATCGCAACTGGCTGTTGACACCACTAATTATTAACTGTTAACTCTGCAAAAAAAAGCCAATAGGAAGATACGTAATCGTACATTTTAATGGCTAGCTTCGTTTTTAAATAAATTTTTTTGAAATTTTCATTTGTTGTAAGATATTTCGCATAAGAACGCGTACCCCCGTAAAGCTGTTCACGTACCCTTGGGGGTACGCGTACCACACTTTGGGAAACACTGTTCTAAGTGATCGTTTGGAACTAGCTTTAGTAAGTTAACGTATAATAATGTTTATAACTATATGATTGGCTCAGGGGATAGAGCACTCGCCTCCCAATGAAGTGACCTAGGTTCAACGCACCGACCACAGTGCTGACGTAAAATATCCTCAATGGTAAACAGATCATGGGTTAGAGTCCCTTTGCTGTCAGGCTAACCGTGAGAGGTTCTCGTGGTCTTCCTCTCCAAGTAACGCAAACGCGGGTTAGTTCCATCAAAAAGTTCTCCCCGAAGGCAAATTTCTCCCAATACTTAATCCACGAGTTCCCTTGTCTTCTGGAATGGGTTCAAAATTACAAGACAACGGAGTTGAACACTAGCAGTCGTTAACCCGAAAATTCGGTCGACTGTTATAAATTAAAATAAAATAAATATAAGATGTTGTAAAATCCATTCGCATGTTTGAGTTCTTTAAGGTTGTTTATTGAAGCCTCTGTAGTTGCATGATATGATGCTGTATTGCAACGAATATGATATTTTCATGACAAATGTGAGTTTGTAATAGTTACTCATGTTTTAGAATTTTCTCTCAATAACTATACGACAAAGGAACTTCTTGCATGCAAGGAAATCGTGACGTTTTTTGCCCATAGCTCATGGATAATAAAAAAATGCGAAAATGTGGTGTATGTACGTTGCACAATATACTTTGTCCCAAATTCTTTTATTTATGGTAGGACAGTTTCACAAATGATGGAGAGTAGAAGTAAAATTCTAACTATTTTACATTTGTCTTTTAAATTAAATTTTTCGTACTTAAAACGTATTTTTTTGTATTTTTAATTGAATTATTGACCTGATATTAAACTTTAAAAGTTTTTTAGATTATTAAATAATCTAAATTGGATTATTTTGAAAGGAATGCTAGAAAAAATTTTTGAAATATATGATTAGAAAAAAAATCATAAGAATGAAGAACAAAATTATTATAAATTATTTAGCTTGATTAATCGTCAAAATTGCTTTAAAAATTGTCTTTTGAGGGTTTTAAATCCATGAAAAAGTAAAATATTTCCTAAGGTGAAACTTAAATAGTTCAATAGCAAATAATGATAATAAAAACAAAATACAAACAATTTATTTTTGTTATACGTCATGATTTTAGAATTTTTTTAAAAAGAAATACTTTTCCCAAAAAGAAAAAAAACTCAAATAATTGCAAAATTACAAAAGCAAATAAATTTATTATCACAATTTCAAAAAATTCGTGATATTCCTTTTAAAAAATATGTTTCAAATATTTCAGTTACACAAAAAAAAGAAACTGATAATTATAAAACGTTTCCTAATGTAATTAAATGCTTGTAAAATATCTGAAGCAAATTTTAAAAAATGCAAAGAATTTATTTTTATTATTCGTCATGACTTAAATCCTATTTTATGAAATCTTATCTTATGATTTTTTTTAAAAATCCTTTTTTAAAAAGAAATTTAAATAATTGCAAAATTACAAAAGCAAATAAATTTATAATTACAATTTTAAAAAATTCGTCATATTTTTTTAAACATTACTTTTTTAATATTTTAGTTTTACAAAAAAATAATAATACAGAAAAAATTTTTCCTAAAATTAAACTTAAATGCTTCTAAAATATCTAAAGCTAATAAAAAAAGACAAAATTTTTTTGTTATTCGTTATGAGCTTTTTAAATTTTGTTTAAAATACTTTTTTATAAAAAGAAGGAGTTCCTTAAAAAAAAATACTTAATTGCAAAATTATAAAAGCAAACAAAATTATATAATAAAAATTGTCATATTTTTTTTAAACATTGTCTTTTGAATATTTTAGTTCCACAAAAAAAATAATAAAATATAATAAAGCGTTTCTTAAAATAAAATTTATATGCTTGTAAAATATCAAAAGCAAATTAAAAGGGAAAAAAATGCAAGCAATTTATTTTTATTACTCGTTACGACTTTAAGAAACATTTTTTTTTTTAAAATTCCCGTTTCACAAAGAAAGAAAGTATTTCTTAAGAAGAAACTTCACTAATTGCAATATAACGAAAGCAAAACAAGTAACTTATTTTTATTTATAGTCAAATTTTCACGTCATTCCTTTTAAAATTATTACAATTTTACACAAAAAAAAACGTTATTTAAAAAAATACTTTAAAAAAAAGCATAAGCAAACTAAAATTATAAATGAAAATAAATATTCTGGAAAAACAATTAGTTAATAACTATTTAATATAAAAACATTATTCAATAAAAGTTTCGAGTATTGAATCTGCACTAACACTACATTATTTGATAAACATAGAAATGTTCACTGATAAAAAAATAAGAATTGAAACTCAATGCAACAAAATGTAGTAAAATAAAGCAGTAATTTAATACTGACAAAATGCAAAATTTCCTACTTACAGACTCATTCAAAAGTTATAGATCATTAAATTTTCGACGCTCAATTTCCTGCTTTTCGTCCAAATAGAAATCTGAAAAATATGAAACAAGATCAATGAGTATATATATTTAAAAGGTAAACAATAAATAAATTTCCAAAAAGTGATTTCAATTATTTCATTAACGAATGATACGAATAATACATAATACGAATATATTTATTTCATAATTATAATTTCTATTTAAAATCTTCTTATTTTAAAATTTTAAAGGAAAAAAAATGCAGATTTGATAGATATGTCACTAAAAGTTTCAGTTGGATTTTTATTATGCATATTTACATTCTTGTTAACGAAATGGAGAAATGATACGACAAAATAAATACGACAATGTAAGACAAAAACTTTAAAAAATGAATATTAAAATGTATAGCTTAAAATAATTGACATTTTGTATTGTCAGTGATAAATAACAATACATTCAAGTTAATAATTTTCCAATAGATATAATTTTGGTTCTCTTAACCAGCTATTGTCAAATCAGTAATCATACTGAAATGTTCGATTTCATGACATTTAAGGAATTTCAATTCCGGTAATCCAATTTATTTTTACTTCTTCTACTGTACATAAAGGAACTGAGATTTGTCATATTCCTACAATAGCATCAGTTTAAAAAAACAGCAGTTTAATTTTTTTTAATTAAAATACAAAATTTTTTACAAAAATTTTGCAAATTTTTCTAAAATTTACGAAATTACTGTTTTGAATTTTACTATAAGTATTTCATTACTCTTGCAAACTTCAAAATATGCTGCTTCTTACACTGATGTAAATAATACACACACTGTTGAGAAATTCACACTGTGCTGCTTCTGACAATGATGTAAATACTACAGCACACTGTGGACAATTTCACACTGTGCTGCTTCTGACAACGATGTAAATACTACAGCATACTGTTGACAATTTAAGAATGTGCTGCTTCTGACAACGATGTAAATACTACAGCACACTGTTGACAATTTAAGAATGTGTTGCTTCTGACAACGATGTAAATAATACAGCACACTGTCGGCAATTTAAGAATGTGCTGCTTCTGACAACGATGTAAATAATACAGCATACTGCTGACAATTTAAGAATGTGCTGCTTCTGACAACGATGTAAATACTACAGCACACTGTTGGCAATCTCACTATGCTGTTACTGATAGCTTTGTGCACTGTCAGTTACAGCACATTGTGAAATTTACATCACTCTGCTGTAATATTTAGAGCGTTGTTCAAAACAACCTAAATTGCACGGCTACTGATAACAGCCGAAAGGCCAATCCTAGTTTTTGGTGTTAAAATATGTTAGATTTTCCTTCCTTTTTTTTTTTGGTAGTTAAACTTAAGAATTAAAGTTTTTACCAATAATGCGTAGAGAGCTTCTTACGCATAAAAAACAAAACTTCTGTAGTGTTCCGATATAAAATATGACAAGATTGAAGTTGTAATTTGATTATGATAAAAAAAAAATTTTCATAACATTTTCTCCTAAAACTGAAATAATTGACATGAAATTGTTCAACCGGTACGTATAGTAATTAAAATTTTTCAAAAACAAAATTTCAAAAGTTGATTAATTTATTTTCCGTATAAATCTCTGCATAGTGAAGGATTTAAAAATTTTTGAAAAAAAAAAAAGAATGAAAGCTACCCCCCCCCCCCCAA